TAATAATAATAATAATAATAATAATAATAATAATAATAATAATAATAATAATAATAATAATAGCAAAAATCTTAATTATAGTAGTAAAAATAATTATGTTAACTTATTTATATTCATAGTCATACTGACTCTTCTTTTACTTAGTAATAAACTTTCTTCTGATTTTTACCTCTTATATCTAACCACTGATAAAACATATCCCATGTTGAGTAATATTCTGTATCTGCTTTATCTTTTATTTTTAATGTGTGTCTATCCATCTCTGCACAGTCTAATATTTTCTGAATTATATTTTCATCTGGGGGGGGGGAGGGGGGTAATCCTCTTTTTTCCAATATTGTGCAAATACGATTCTCACTGCTATCAACACACGAAGTATTAAATATATAGTCCCTTTATTGTAGCTTTCTGGTAGTATACCTAACAAGAATATTTCTGGTATTAGATCTATATACTGCTTCATTATCTTCTCTAACCATGTATGTATTTTTGTCCAGAATTTTTTTGCCTTCACACATGTCGACCACATATAAGTATCTGGAGTCTGATTACATTTCCAACATTTGGCAAACATATTTTGGACAACTTTGCTAGCCTTGCAAATGCCACCTATAAAACACCTTGTATAGGTTTTCCTTATGTGAGGTGGCCACTGTTATTTTATAGTTCCTATCCCAAAGTTTTTGCCATTTCTCTACTTGCATGGTATAGCCAAAGTTTTTTGCCCATACTATCATTGTTTCTTTCACTTGTTCATCTTCCATTTTAATACTTAATAAGTAACTATATAAGGGGATGCGGTGGCTCAGTGGCTAAGACGCTGAGTTTTTCGATCAAAAAGGTCGGCAGTTCAGCGGTTCAAATCTCTAGTGCCGCATAACAGAGTGAGCGCCCATTATTTGTCCCAGCTTCTTCCAACCTAGCACTTAGAAAGCATGTAAAAATGCAAGTAAAAAAAATAGGGACCCCTTTGGTGAGAAGCTAATAGCGCTCCGTTCGCCTTCAACATTTAGTTATGCCAGCCACATGACCATGGAGATGTCTTTGGACAGCTCTGGTTCTTCGGCTTTGTAATGGAGATGAGCACCGGCCCCTAGAGCCAGAAATGGCTAGCACGTTATGTGTGAGGAGAACCTTTATCTTTAAGTGATTATATAGTTCCTTTATTAATTTTTCATCCGTCCCTAATAGTATCCAACCGAGTGCTGATAATTCTTTATAAAAACTCCATGTCTTGGCATCTTTCTCATATTTAGATTGTATTTGCAGGTATGGCCACCATGCTAGATCCACCCCTTCGTTTTGCTATTCCTGCCTGGTTTTAAGTTCTCCTTCCTCATTTAAAATGTCTTTATAAGTTATAATTTTTTCCAAATTAACAATATTTCCATCGTGGAGAGCTTGACTGGTATTTTCCTGTAGTTTTCTTGTAGACATTTATATTCTATTTCTCTCCTCACTTCCTGTCCCTCATTTGTGTTAAAATGGTGATCATAAAATTCCATTGCTTTGTTTAGCGAATCCAGTCTGTATCTTTTGTCATTCCAATTGACTAGTATTCCCTCAGGTATCAGCCATCTGTAGTTTACATTATATTTAATCAGCATCGCAGTCAAGAATTATATTGTTTCTGTAGGTTTCTCACTCTCCTAGGAACCAGCTTCAAGGCAGCCAATTCTTTTCCCTTGTATTGTAATGGTTCGTCTTGTGCCTTCTTGAGTATTTCTTCTCTCATCAACTTTTTCAAAAATCTCATGCGTACCTCTCTTGGAAGTTTATGTCCTTTTGCATAACTTGCGTGTATTCTAAAGGTGTCATCTATTTTTGCATCCATCTCCTGCTTATCAATCTTTAGCAAATCCATTTTTCTTATCCCAGCAGGACAGCTAGATATATTTTACAATTTATAGGAAGTCCAGTATTTCTCATCTCTTGTTGTATTATATACAACTCCTCCAGAAAAATGCAGGATTTTCTCTCTTGGTCTTTGATTGTACAATAGCTAAGAAAAAGTGAATAAATAACCTGTTTTCTGATGAGGTCCAATATAGGATTCTCATCTTTTGGGCTTTTGATGATAGGGAGAGGATCTGCTCAGGGTGAGCAGTATCAAAAGTGCTGAAGTCCCTCCCTTGAGTAATGCATATTCATATCAATTGATGGGTTCACGTTTCTTGGGTATTGCTTTCTTCAATGAGGTGTCTAATGAAATTGCATGAATGGAGACCAATGATCTGAGCCAAGTACTTCAAAGGGAGAACTAAGGGTGTCCCTGTCATCTCAATTCTACAGGAATTATATGGATGGAGTTTCCAAAATTCATTACTCAAGACTTGTCCTAAAATTTGTTACAACTTCTGAGTTGCTTGTCCTAAGATTTGGTTGACTGCAATTTTTATCAGGAGGCAGATGATTTTAATCCAAACAAGGTGTTAGTGTTAGATCACTGACTTTTCCCCATTGAATATCTAACAATTAGAGGAGAGAGGGCCATGTTCAAACTCTGCCCTGTGCTCTCCAAACCAAAGTGGAAGGTGGGGTGGGGGAAATCAGCCCGTAGGAACCAGAGGGGATCAAATTATTATTTTTTCAGTCAATTACAGTATCTTGCATTAGTCTCTTTCTCTTTCTCTCTCTCTCTCCCTCCCTCCCTCCCCTCCTCTCTCTGTAGCAATTCATGTGGGTGTGAGTCACTGAACAAGGGAAATGTTGATGCTGTTTCAGAGTTTGCACAATTTCGTATATAGACCTCACACACATTTGTTGCCTAAAAGGTTCTTCCCAAACCCCCAAAACTTTAACCTTAGACTGTCTACTGTTGACCTCACCCCACTCCTAAGAGGTCTTTAAGGGGCATGCATAAGTACACCAATGTGCCGTACTGTCCCTATTCTAGTGTTCCCTTTTATTCATCCATTTCATGTATTAATAATCATGATTATACTTTGTTATCTGTTATCTAATACTCGTTTGACAAAATAATAAATAAATATAACCTACCAATCTCTTACACAAACAACTTCTTTCCGATTTTCCATGTTACAACCTCTTTCGTCTTCTCCTCTTATCCAGGAAAACCTCTTCCTCGACCTTCCATCTCGGTGAATCCCAGTAACGTGGTTGCTTTGGGAGAGAATATAAGTATCAGTTGCAAGAAGGAGTGGAACCTAGAAGGGACATCCATTTTATATCTACGGAAATCAATGCCTAGTGAAAGAACTATTAGGAATACAATGCACAATGAGCTTGAATTTCATATTTTCAATGTCCAGCAATCACATCAGGGGAAATACAGTTGTATATATAATTTAAATTCATTCTGGTCACCCTACAGCAACACAGTTTCTATCATTGTGCGAGGTAGGTCTTTTTCTGTGCTGCTTTTGTCAGTGAGACTAACCTAGCTACAAGTTGACCGCAATTTACAACAATTTGTTTAGTGACTGACGTTACAACAGAACTGAAGAAAATGACTTATGACCGCTTTTCACACTTATAACCACTGCAGTATCTTCATGGTCAAAATTCAGAGCCTTGGCAACTGACTCATATTTATGATGGCTGCAATGTTCCTGGGATCATGTGATCCCCTTTTGCGATCTTCTGACAAGCAAAGTCAATGGGGAAGCCAGGTTCATTTAACAACCATGGTACTAACTTAACAACTACAGTGGATCACTTAACAACTATGGAAAGAAAAGTCTTAAAATGGGGCAAAACTCACCTATAAAATGTCTCACTTAGCAACAGAAATTTGGCTTCAATTGTGATCAGAAATCAAGGACTATCGGTATTTCCTACACCTATAAATAGAAATCAAAGTTTGTATTCCCCCAAATGCAGAAAGGATGAAAATTTCCATTTTCTCCCCAAGGCTCTTTCCCGCCAAGGTCTTGAGAGACCATTACAAATCAGAGCTTCTTGTTTAGTGAAGCTCAGCAGGTCGAGTGTCTGCTCTTTATCAGCTAATATGCTCCCGTGAGCTGTAACCCATTTATTCCTCCTCGTTTTTCCAACCACCTCAATCTCTCCATGCGGGAGGTAGGGAGACTTTGAAATAATGCCTTCTGAATTTCAGGAGCAAGACAGGATAATGTATGAAAGTCATATTTTTCATGCTGTTAAAAGAAACAGTTCCTATCCTGATTCTTGCCTCCCTCCCCAGGTAGGTTTTGACCTAATCGTAGTTGTTTGTTTCCTCCTGAAATGCAAATATCTAGCCATTTTAAAGATTTGGGCTGTTGTAAATATTGGTTTTAAAATCTCTTTTTTTCTCTCCTACTCAGATCAACTTTATCTCAGCCCCTCCATTTCAATAATCCCCAATGGCATGATTGTCCTAGGGAAAAAAGCCACCATCCAATGCAAACAAGAATATTACCCAACTGCACATTTTAACCTCTTCAAAAAAGATGCTTTAGATGCACCAGCAAACTATGTTTACAACAAACAAATAGCTGAATTCCCTATTCCCAGTGTCCAAGAATCAGATGGAGGAATCTACTTTTGTGACTATCGAATTGGCTACTGGAACAAATACTCAAAGTTCAGTAATAAAATATATATCAATATAACGGGTAAGATATGGATTCCTATTCTTCATAGTTGTTTCACCAAAGAGAGTTCAGCGTTTTTGCATTTTCTGTACTTAGAATACAAATATTAGCATTTGAATTTTCTTTTTCCTTCATCTCTTCATGCGTCTGCAACTCAGTTAACTTATTATTCTCTTGAACATCAAGGCATATACAAATGTAATGATCATATTGTGATAGCTCATGCTGTAGGATGAAGGCCCTTGAGTTATTTTGTGATTCCTGACTCTAGCAGTTTTCCTGACAAGATTTTCACAAGAGATTTGCCATTACAGTACTTCTTCTTGGAGCTGAGAGTGAGTGATTGGTTCAAGATCCTCTATTGGTTTGCTTAAGGAGGGACTAAAGCTCACAGTCTCCTGTTGATTAGCCTAAGATCCCCTGTTGGTTCCATGCCTAAGGAGGGACTGGAACTTGCAGTCTCTCGCCTGATCCTTTAACTACTACAGAAACTTACTCCAGGTACATAAATATATAGATACATACATTCGTATGAGCCGCAGTGGGGCAGTGGTTAGAATGCAGTACTGCAGACTACTGCTGCTGACTGCCAGCTGACTGCAATTTGGCAGTTCAAATCCCACCAGGCTCAAGGTTGACTCAGCCTTCCATCCTTTTGAGGTGGGTAAAATGAGGACTCAGATTGTTGGGGGAAATATGCTGACTCTGCAAACCTCTTAGAGAGGGCTGTAAAAAGCACTGTGTAAATTTTCTAATGGTGAGAATCAATCAATGGAATAGTTTGTCTTCTGAAGATGTGGATCACTGGAGGCTTTCAAGAAGAGACTGGACAACCATTTACCCAAAAAGGTATAGGGTCTCCTGCTTGAGCATGGGGTTAGACTAGAAGACCTCTGAGGTACCTTCCTACTCTATTATTCTATGTTCTAAAAGGATTAAGAAATTACGTTTAGATGGAGTTGATGAGCTTGTTATGGAATGTTCAGGTTAAAGATAAAATTTCAGAGGAAATTAACAATTATTTTCAAGATAACAATGAACATGAAGCCTTGTTCAAGTTCAGGAAAGCTGTTTGTTTAATGATCCTTATTTCTCTGTGTTTATTTTTCTATCCAGCAAATTCCTCCCCAGCTACGTCAGTCTTACTAGTGATGTTGCATAAATCTAAAAGAGGGGGGAAATTGTAGGTCATTGCCCCCTTTTAAGGCTTGTCATTTAGTACTTCTAATGCCTTAGCTCTTTATGTAATGTTTTCTTGCCTTTAGACCCCAAGGTCACCGAGCCTGCCATCTTTATGGAACCAAAGGGACAGCAAATGCTTGATACAGATGTCCAGATTTACTGCCAGGGGCCAAAGGGTGACCTGAAATACTCCCTCTATAAGTCAACAGACCTCATAGCTTCCCAAAGGACAAAACCAAACAGTTCCTTGGCTGAGTTTTCCATCTTGGGAGTCAGGTTGGAACACATAGGAAACTACAGTTGTTGCTATCAACTTAAAAATAAACCCTTTATGTATTCAAAGTTAAGTGACCCTCTGCAGCTTGAAGTAAGAGGTAAGGAATTGGCTCTTCCCCAATTCCCGCTATCTTCCAAACCCCATATCCTGAATAAGAGCCATGAGTAAAATTGGGGACCATTTATCCTGAACCATTTGAGAAAACCAGAGGATGAGATGTTTTAATGAGGAAAGTATATATACATATAAAAGATCAGAATGAGAAAGTGAAAACATTACAGCCAACTTCATTTGCATTATGCGTATACTGTAGGTGTGAAAAGCAGCATGCACAGAGTCAAAAGAAAAGAGCCTGGAGAAAATACGATACACCACCAGTGTAATATGTGCATGGGTTTATCATTTCTGCTACGAGAAGTGTGAAGCCCAGTTTGTTAAGCCACACAGGTGGAGAAAGAGACATAAATAGGTGCTTCCCTGAACTTGGATTCCTTGTAAATTTGTTTATTTAGCATGTGGCATACAATGTCAGAGAAATCTACACATGCTAGACATTGGTGGGATTCAAATATTTTTACCACCGGTTCAGTGGGCATGGCTTGGTGGGCATGCTTTGCGTGCATGCACACACTTTGCATGTGCATGTGCACCAAATGCACACTTTGCGCAGGCACAGAGGCGTTTGCGCAGGTGCAGAGGCGTTCTAACTCACCTCCTGTGTGAATATTTTATAGTCTACGTTCAAAAGTGAGATTGGTCTATAATTTTTAATCTGTTTTTGATCTAAATCTTCTTTAGGAATTAGTGAGATGTTCACTTTTCTCCAGGAATCAGGTAATTTGGCAAAGTCTAATACTTCATTGTACACATCTAACATCACTGTTTCAAGACATACATAAGTACATTTATACAATTCCACTGGAAGACCATCTGGCCCTGACGTCTTATTATTTTTCTGCCTTTCAACTGCCCTTTTCAATTCTATCACTGTTATTTCTTTCTTTTTTTAAATTTTATTGGTTTTTAAAAACAAACATAAACAAACAAAACATAAAAACATCAAGCTATCTTCCATAGGTGTACATACAGTGTGCCGGTTGGTTTATAATTTTTTTTTTTTTGCTTCCATTTCGTAGTCTTCAATTACAATTACATTACATATAATCTCATATTGTCAATCAAAACTTAAATCCCTTAGTCTTCTTCTTCTTCTTCTTTTTCTTCAGCGTTTGTCTCGCGCTCGGGCGAGGTCCGCTAATGTCCTTGAGTACTGCTTCCACACCTCTCTGTCTGCCACGTGTGTCGGGTCTGCCTTCGCGATCTCTAGATCGGCCTTGATCGTGTCCATCCAGCGTTGTTTAGGTCTACCACGCGGTCTCGCTCCTCCGACAGTCACCTTCATTACAGATTTGATGATGGATTCTTCCTTGGCGCGGCTCACGTGGCCGAACCATCGTAGCCGGGACTGCCTCATGACCGTGGGGATGGGCACGACGTTGAACCGTCTACGCACTTCTTCGTTCCTGACGCGATCGAGTAGGGTGAGGCCTACCGACCATCGGAGCATTCGCATCTCCATTATCTGGAGTCTGCTTTCGACTTCTTTGGTCGTCGGCCAGCACTCTGCGCCGTATATGGCCACGGGGCGCACCACAGAGTTATAGATTTTCGCCTTCAGGCGCATCGGCATCTTCTTGTCACAGAGGACGCCCGTGACGGACTTCCATTTGCCCCACGCTGCATTGATCCTGGCTGCCACCTCAGTTTGTAGTAGGCCTTCTTCCCCAAGAGTAGTTCCCAGGTACTTGAAGGTGGAGGCGCGCGGTAGCTCCTGCCCGTTCACGTGGATGGAGCCTGTCATTTCATTGTCAGTGGTCAGGTATTCGGACTTCTTTAGGTTCAGCCGGAGCCCGAACTGCTCGAGGCGGTCGTGCCACTGTTGGACTCGGTGCTCTAGTTCAGCCTTGCACAGGTTGGCCAGGAACACATCATTTAAATCCCTTAGTATCATTATTAATCAATCATTTGACTATACTTTTATTCATGCATGTTTTACAAGATAACCATAATTTACTTAGTTTATTTTATAACAAATAACAAATAGCAAATGTAAAATTCTGGGTAATATATTCATCTTGGTTGTTGAAATTCTCCCTATTAGTGACAGTTGTAAGTTTTCCCATTTCGCCAAATCTAGTGCTATCTGTTGTTTAAGTTTAATATAATTATTCTCTTTTAATGTACTACATCTTGCTGTCAAATATATCCCCAAGTACTTGATCTTATTTGTGACCTGAATTTTCAATAGATCTGCCAGTTCTTCCTTTTGTCTTAATAGCATATTCTTTGTCAAAATCTTGGTCTTATCTTTATTTATTTTCAAACCAGCCACCTTTCCGTATGTCTCTATCTTTTCTATCAATTTTGATTGTTTCTAAAGGGTCTTCTAAGATGAAAACCAGATCATCCACAAATGCTTGCAGCTTAAATTCTTCCTTTTTGATTTTCATTCCTTTTATATTCTTTTCATCTCTAATATTTCTGTTTAACACTTCCAAAGTTAACACAAACAGCAAAGGTGATAGTGGGCACCCTTGCCTTGTTCCTTTTCTTATATTAATAGAGTCTGTCAGTTCTCCCTCTATCATTACCTTTACTGTTTGCTTATAGTATATAGCTTCTATTGCTTGAATAAATTTTCTAGCAAAACCCATCTGTTCCAACAGTAATAACATGAATCGCCAATTCACATTATCAAATGCCTTCCGTGCATCTAAAAATATCGGAGCCATTTGTTTTTCAGGATGTGCCTCGTAGTATTCCAAAGTATCCAAGATTACTCTCATACTGTCTTTAATTTGTCTCTTTGGCAGAAATCCATTTTGATCAGGATGGATAAAATTATTTAAATATTTTTTAAATCTTTCTGCCAATATTGAAGCAAAGATTTTATAATCTGCATTTAGTAGAGAAATGGGTCTATACTTCTTAAGCATAGTTTCTTGAATGGTCATTAATGAAGCCTGTATTGTTTGCATATTGGCTACAGTTTGTTTTTCTGCCCCTGACATTCCCTCAATCGCCTTTTGACCCGCCGGTGATGTAATTGTCAATGTTTGACTGGATGTTGTCTTCTTTGCCATTCTCCAGGCTGATGTCATGGCATTTCTCTTATTTTCAAGCTCTATTTATTTCTACCTATTTTATTATTTCCTTTACAATATATTTTAAACTAATCTCTTACTTTCAATTTGTTCCTTCTTCTTTTCAAATATTTTTATTCTAATTATATAGACTTAGCACCACTTATTATCCCTTAGTCTATCTCAAAGTCAATATCACTATATATCTAACAATATCCTACTCAGACAAAGCCCTCCTGCCTTTCCTTATGCACATTGTATTACATTTATTCTTTTTTCCTTTTATCTATAGTAAAAGAGGGAATCACTTCCTCCTTCTCCACTCGCCATGTTGGTCTCGTAATAGCCCTCCGTCCAAGAAGCAGAGAGGAGTCAGTCGTCTCTCCCTTATCACCTTCTTTTCTCCATCTCCTCCTCTGGCTTCCCTGGATTTTCTTCTTCTCCCACCAGTTCTTGTCTTATTTCAATCTCCACCTTTCAGCTTCCTAGAACCATTCACTTCCAACTTGTACCCCCTCTTTCCGTCTGTAAAAGGTGCTGAATCACAGCTTTTCTTACTGTCTCGCCGCCTGTCCTATGGGGTTATCCCCCCCCTCACCGGAGCTCTTTTTTATTCTCGGAAACAAGTTCAAACTTACTTTTGGCAAAACATCACAGTTGCAACTTTGGGATTTTAACGTCAATGACACTTTCTGTTGATAATCTTCTCACTTCCTCCTCATTCACAGTTCAGCCATGGCCTCGGATCTGCCATAATAAAATGACAGACACTTTCACTTCAGGTTTTCAGGGGTTTACCTTCTTGCCGGCTGGCGATCGCGTTTTGCCTCACCGTCTTCCAGGCTTCCCTCTTCTCCGCTTGGCTTTCCAGGCTCCTCAGGCCCCAAAAGGTCCCCAAAAGTGAAAGAATTGGATCCAGAGATGGAGACCGCTCTCCCTTCACTCTTTCACCAAGGCATCACCGCCGGAAGTCCTCTGGCCAGGAGTTCCAGCATCATTAAACCTCCGAGACAGTGCATCCCCCTCATTAAAAATGTTTCATTACCAACAAAGTACCAACATCAGCGTTATGTGGTTGTTCCCTGTTTTTATATATATGGTCATTTTTATCATATACGCACACGATAAAAACTAATACAAACTAAAATGTAAAGTAAAAAATAAATAATAGAAAGTGCAGAAAAGAAAAAAATAGAAAAGGAAGAAAAAAAAACAAAATTGTAACAAAAAGAAGAGAAATATATAAAAATATGACTTCTCCCTTCATTACAATATATATAAACCATTTTAATAACTTACCACATTCTTTAACGTATTTGGTTCTGGCTGGGGTTGACCCCATCTTCAGTGTACCATTTCTTCCCCAAAAGTCCTCGGTCGGTATTTATGTCAAAGATCTCTCCTGCAATGAAATTTGGGAAGAATCTTTTGCTCTTCAGGGTATTAAGGGAACATCTTTCCGAGTCCTTCTTGGAAGTGCTGTGATTGGATGGTTGAGTTTACACTCAAAAGGTTTTAACTTCTCCAGTTAAAGCTGGTGATTATATTTTCTCTGTAAATGAAGCTTGATTAGTTTTAATATTTGTATTCTTAGCACCTGGTGTCAGCTCAAGCCACTTTAATTGGGTCAAAACCTGCATTCATGGATCGCAGCCTTCATTAGATTATTGTACAAAATTTCAGTTGGAATAGTATAATCCTAAGCCACATCTGGCCCTTTGGCTGTTCCTGTCCAGCCCGCATGAGGTTAACTGGAAATTAAAAATCAACTATAAATAAATATATATGACATGCACACAATATAACTGCATTACTTTTATTTTGAAGGCAACTGCTTTTTAAAAAAAATTATAAATGTTCCTAATTAACAGATTACTCCCATAAAATGGGAGTTTGTATGTTTATGCGTAGGTCTTCAGAACCCTGTTGGTTTCAGCCTTCCACAATAGTCCCAGTTTCTCTTGTGGCCCTCTGAGAAAATTAATTGCCCAACCTTGCTTTAACCTTAACCCTACCTTGATACCTTGATAGAAGAGGATGCCCTGAACTTCTATAATTTTATTTTGACATCTTTTCTGCTTTTACAGATGCCATTCTTCTCTGTAAGCTCAATTATTTAGCATCTCACTTTAAAGACAAACAATGTAATATAAAGCATACTGGACCCCTGGATAGAATAATGGAATGGGGAAGAAATAAATAGGCTTTCTTATAAATATTTGGGGGAAAAGTATATATCTGAGGATTCAGCCAAAAGACTGAAAAGGGAGGGATGTTATTTGTGGTTGAGTGAAACAAGAGATACTGATCTAAAAGACTCTTGACGTGCCACTGAATCTTTCCCCCTTCTAGATCCCAGCCTGACCAAGCCTTCCATCCAGATTATAAATGAAGAACAAGATGCCCCAGAAGCAATCGTCTCCATACAGTGCAAGGCGACAGAAACAGATCTGATTTTTGCTCTTCTGAAATCAGGGAAACAGATAGACTGCAAAGCCGCAGAGCCAGGGGAAAAGGCGGTGAATTTTTCTCACCATTGGATAAAGTTGGAAGAGATACAGAATTATACCTGCCAGTACAAAACCAGGCCCTTTGTCTGGTCTGTGCCAAGTGACCCAGTGGAGGCGCCTTGGGAAGGTAGGATGTCAAAGGAGCACATTTCATTTTCCCCATTTGCCCTGTCAGAAAAAAGAGACAGAGACAGACTGGATTTCTGGAAGACCTGGAGAACCAGGGCAGTGAATATTGGACACATTGTCTGCACAATATGGTGGACACACACATCTGAATATGAGTAGGAATAGGTGGGCCTGTGTCTACCTTGGGATGTTTGAAAATGTTTTGTGGGTGCCATCAAGTAAAGGTAGAGAGACATAAATATTGACAGATAGACTGAGAGCTAGACTTTCCATTTTTTTTAGTAGGCTATGGAAAGTAAATTAATAAACGTAAGATACTGAGAAAAAACTAGAGAAGAGATAGCAGGCACAAATTCTGATATGGACCAGAGGCTTATTTGCATTGCTGAGTTATTCTATCACCAGATTATAACAGATCATAAAAATGGTACACATTATAGGCTATTAATCAAATAGTGAGCCATTTGTGATGATTGTTTGGATTAACCATAAAATGAGAAAGTTTTGTTAATGATACTGATAATAATTATGGTGGAGGTGGAGGGGGTGGTGGTGGTATTGGAGGAGGAGGAGTTATCCCTTGACATCAACTGCTCAAATTATTTTACCCATGACAACAAAGTGCTCTCAAGAAAACATGGAAAGGGTGAGCAATGTATATATTCTTTTCTGCAGGGAGGGGGAAGGAGAAAGCCTTTGGTCACAGTGGGATCTGCAGTAGCTTCAGCTGCAGGTTTTACCAGTCCCCGTGATCACATGACCAGCTTTAGATGGACCTCCAAGCATGGAAGTGTGCCAAGAGAGAAACAGAAATAGAATCCTTGGTGCTCTGGGGCTAGTTGTTTAGATGTTACATTACCCAAATACTATAGGTAACATCATCAACTGACTGAGTGTAAGGATTGCTTCAGTAGCTTGCCCAGCCTGTTTTGGTGGGTGGGTGGTTTTCTTCTTAATAGTTTTTTGATTAGGGTATTGTTTTCTGCTTTGCTTGATTGTTTGTCTGGTGTTAATCCCTGCTTATCTCAGTGCTGGCTGCTAAAAAGAATATGTTCTGAAATAGAAATGGAAATAGAAATAGAACAAAATTGCTTTATTGGCCAAGTGTTGTTGGACACACACAAGGAATTTGCTGCTGGTACAAAAGATCAAAATGTACATATATAAATAGTAAGTCATAGGTCGTGATTATAATTATGATTATGCTCATAATCCTTCTTATCTTGAATCAAACAACCAAGCTCAGAGAGCACCAAGGACTCTACAATTCAACCCAACCTCAAGAAAAACACAGCTGTGCAACTTGCATAAATTGTTAAATGTTGCATTGTCTGTAAATTGGGGAAAAAATGGATTTTAAAACTGACAGACAGCTCTAGTATTCTTGGTAGCAGATGATTGATAGTAATGAGCTGGTGAGTGGAGAAGAAGTTCAAAAACTATTTTATTGGAATAGTTAAGATGGTGGATTATAAACTAAGTTGGTTATAAGTTCTAGTCCTCCTTTAGGTGCAGAAGCGTAACTAAGTAACTTTGGACCAGTCCACTTGCCTTATGCCAATTCACTTCTTAGGGTTGCTCATATGGGAAGAGGGAGCATTGTGTACTTTGCCTTAAATTGTATTAAATAAAGTCAGGATATTAATGAAATAAATAAACTAGAAAAGGCCACCATTGTTTTCCAGTATTTTTTGCCTGGAATCTTTAAGAGACTGTTAAGACACTGGAAACCAGGGAAGTTGAGAAGATGAATAAATTGAGTGGACTGGACTGGTAAAAAGATCACAATAATAGTTATCCATCACCAACTCTGCATTTATTAGATATCATTATTACTCTTCTAATCAAGATGTCTGTGGCTTTACAGGTAAATCCTTAATAACTCTATGGACAAGTATTGCTGCATGCCTCTTCTTTCTGACTGTCCTCCTCCTGGTGCTTATCCTCATTTTATACAGAAAAAGAAAAAAAGGTAAGAGATATACGGATTGGTAGAGGAGAATATTTGTAGCTCAGGTTCGAAATGAGCTTGGTTGTTTTCTGGCAGACGTTTCATTATCCAAACTAGGTAATATCATCAGTGCCGGCAGAAGGAGCACCAAAGACTCCCTTAAGGACAGATTGCTTTACAGCAGCCGAGGATAAGGCTATGCCCCTCTGTCTGCTTAACAGTCTCACTTGATTAAAAACTTATCCATACTTCAGGTAGTCCTCAACCTATGACCACAATTGAGCCCAACATTTATATTGCAAAGCGAAACATCTGTTCAGTGAATTTTGCCTCATTTTACAACCTTTCTTGCCACAGGTGTTAAATGAATCACTGCAGCTGTTAAGTTAGTATCATGGTTGTTAGGTGGATCTGGCTTCCCCCTTGACTTTGCTTGCCAGAAGGTAGAAAAAGGGAACACACGACTCTGGGACAATGCAACCGTCATAAATATGAATCAGTTGCCAAGCATCTGAATTTTGGTTGCATGATCTTGGGGATGCTGCAACGGTCGTTAAGGGTGAAAAAATGGTCCTAAGTCACCTTTTTCAGCGTGGTTGTATGAGAAAGAGAACTGTTTTCTTTAAAACTGAAATGAGATATAACAGCAAGGAAACAGGTTGCAGAAAGCACAACAAAGAATTCTATTTGTTACCTTTGGAGTAGCTTAGCACCAGGTGTAGAAGCAGAAATGGCTCCAAACCAGGGGTGGGATTCCACCAGTATAACAACCGGTTCAGTGATCGCTGTGGACGCGTGCTCCGCGTTTAGAAAAGCTCAAATTCCCACCTTGCAATGCAGTTCCTGTGAATCAAACAGCTGAGGCGTGGCAAACCGCTTGGCCGCGCCAATCAGTTGTGCTCTAAAAACAGGAAATAAGACCAGGGGCGGGTGGGAGGGCCCACATGCCAGTCGCAGCGAACCAGTTTGGAGCCAGGTGATCATCGGAACAAGGGGTTCACCTAATCCAGTCCAAACCAGTGGAATCGAACCCCTGCTCCAAACTGATTTTATTCTGGAAGGAAGTTAAATCTGTATTGTTCCGGCAGCTTTTAGTCCTTAACTGGGTTCAGGTAACCACCACAGGTAGTTTTGGTATTACTGCTATTATAATTTAATTATTGTATTTTGCAACTATTGTTTGCTGCTTTAGCTTGGATTATTAGTCCATAAATATTACAAATACATTAAATCCATATAAAGGAAGATCTAAGGAATCCCCTTAGCGATCATTTTTTGATGAATCAGTACAGGGGGTCCTCAACCCTAAAATTTCAGTAGCTTAAGTGAGATGTTTGTTAAGTGAGTTTTGTCCAATTTTATGACTTTTCTTGACACAGTTGTTAAGTGAATCACCACAGTTGTTAAGATAGCAGCAGGATTACAAAATGAATCTGGCTTCCCCATTGATTTTGTTTGTCAAAAGTTCACAAAAGGTGATCACATGACCCCAGGACACTACAATGTATCATAAATATGAGTCATTTGCCAAGCATCTGAATTTTGATTACATGACAATGGAGAGGCTACAATGGTTTTAAGTGTGAAAAATGGTCATAGTGCCATTATAATTTGAACAGTTTCTAAATAAACTGTTGGAAGTTGAAGACTACTTGTATTTAATACTGAACTGCCGATAATGCAAGTTTAGTCCACTTTGCAGGTTGTAAGAAACGTAAAAAGCAGGAACAGAGTGGGGCAACCCTACTACCATCTCCATCTTTCAAACAAAGATTTTTAAGAAGGGGACATGAATTATTTCTCTTTTAAAGATCTCTCTTCCCATTGCTGTCCTTAAAACCCACCCCAAAATTCTACCCCATTCATTTATCGTGAAGACACCACATTGAACAACATCCTTCAATCTTCCAGAAGACTGGAACCTTTCCAACTACAGGATTCCATAATTTTGTTGGAAAATTCAATACATTTCTGTGGATACAGAATACAGAAACCAATATAAAATGTATCTTTCCGATTGCAGAAATCTCCTAATGCAGATTTCATGCAGCCAGACAATTAAGACCAGGAGCTTGGGTGTAGAAAATAAACCAACATTTATCATTTAAAATAAACCAAAGCAAGATTTTTCACAAGATCTTTTTGACTTACAGGCTCTGTCGCCACAGAAAGCAATGTACCAGCCAAGATGGTAAGAAACATTCTCTGCACATACTAGTTCTATAATTGTCAACATGTCGTCCATGAATCTATAGGTCATAAATCAAGATGACAGGGCTAATTTTTATTTTTAAAACAAGTGTTTAAAGATGAGTTTCACAAAAGGCAAGGGAAATTATCTTTAAGAAAAGCTTAATATTTCATATTAGACAATATTTTTACTGGGTCTACTAAGCGATCACAAGCAGTGTGCAAGTTTTCAAGGTAAGTTTGAATGTCAGAAAAGGAATGAAACAAGGCTGTATACTCTCTCCTTATTATTCAACTCGATGCTGAATAAATATTGAAAAAGTCTGGATTAGAAGAAGATGGTTTTAAAACTGGAAGAAGAAACATCAATAACCTGTGCTACGCTGGCAACCTTATTTCTGGTAGCTAAAAATGCAAATGATCTTCAAACTGTAATAACAAAAGGCAAGGGGTATAGTGAAAAAGATGAAACTATGATGCAATATAAAGAAGAACATGCTAATGGCAATAAGCAGCCAGACATAAGATTTGCAACAAAGATACTGAAGTGATGGATAGTTTCTGCCTTTTAGGATCAATCACAGGTAGTCCTCAACTTATGACCACAATTGAGCACAACATTTACATTGCTAAGTAAAAAAATTCTTAAGTGACATTTGCCCCATTTTATGATTTTTCTTGCCACATTTGTTAAGTGAATCACTCCAATTGTTAAATTACTAATATGGTTGTTAGTGAACCTGGTTTCCCCATTGGCTTTGCTTGTCAGAAGTTCATAAATGTGAGTCAGCTGTCAAGCATCCAAATGTAAATCATGTGACCATGGTCATAAGTATGCAAAAATGTCATAAATAACTTTTTTCAGTGCCGTTGTTACCTCAAATGTTCAATAAGCAAACTGTTGTAAGTTGAGAACTACCTGTATTAGCAATAAAGGAACCAGCAGTCAAGAAATATGCCTCAGACCAGCATTCAGTAAGGAAGCAATGAAGACTTTAGAAAAAAGTCATTCTGGCCAAGATGTGTCTATATCTGTAAAGGTTAGAATTGTATAAGCAATGTTTTTCTTTGGCACTCTATGGAAGTAAACTTTGGACATTGAAGAAGTAGATACTTTTCAACTTTGATCAAAAGTTGAAATTGAAGAAATCACTTGAAGATGTCAAGAACAGACCAGAAAACATAACAAAAAATAGTTCATAGAACAAATCAACCAAGTATCTTAAGTCACCAAAAATCATGTTTGGACCACATTATACAAAAACCCAACCTTACTGAGAAGTCCATAATGCTGGGAAATGTAGAAGGACAGAGAAAAGGACTACCATTAACACTTTGGATGGACTTAACTACAATAATGATGGTGTACCATGAGGCTTCCAAAACTGCTTATCTCTAGTGGCTGCTTAAGGATGAACAATCCATAACTACAGTGCAGGTAACTAGATTCTGCCCAACAGCACTGGCGATTCATCAGAAACATGAGTCTAATCCATCACAGCTATTTTACAGAACAAATGTGGCAAACCCTTTGCACTGCTTATTCCAGGGGGTCTTCAAACTGGACAGCTTTAAGACTTGTGGACTTCAACTCCCAGTATCCCTCCTCCAGTCGTATAAGGAATTCTGGGAGTTGAAGTCCACAAGTCTTAAACTTGCCAAGTTTGAAGACCCTTGGCTTATTCCTTTCCCTTTTAGTAATAAACTGACAACGGGCTACAGAATTTATGAATTTTAATTTTAGTATAGTTAGACCATGTATGATTGACAGACTGGATTTTATTTTAGGTTTTAGTTGTTATTTATTATTTCATACTAGAATTTTTAATTGCATATTTACTGAGTGTTTTTATTTGTTCTGGTCCCTGATCTATGTCTGTAATAAACTGAATTGAATTGAACTGATGCACCATGAGCGGATCTGAAGGATAAAGTTGGGGATATATCCTGGAAAAGGTTGATTAATGCGATCACTAAGAGTTTATGGCATTTAATCTATCAAGGGGCCAAAAAAATGGCACTTAATTTGACATACTTAATTTCCAAATCCGTTTCTCCAACACATCACCAAATAATGGTTTTCAGTATCTAACTCACTTCAAAGTATATGATTAATCTGCAAAAGTTCTAATGATCTCAATCCTGGAAGTTTTCTTCATGACTTCTCCAAACATTTATTATTGTTTGGGATAAAATTCTGCTTAGTGATGAAAATGTGCAATTAAATTTGCTAACTCAGAACAAAGCATGTGGCCACTTCTCTTTTCTTCACTGTTTTTTATAAGATGAATTCAAAATGAGTTCCTGTATAACTCCAGATTATATAATTAGGCTAACTGGAAGAAACCATGTGATCAAGAGTCCTGCATATAGAATTTTGAGAAAATTAGTCATCAATAATGCTCTTGAAGGAATGTGTGTGTGTGTGTGTGTACACAAACAGAAACAAACATACATACATACCAGCATCCTAACCACCACACCAGGTAGCTCTCAATGAATATAATGAATGTTGTCGATTCATAATATTTTAAATTGTGATATACTTTAAATAGCCAAGCCAACCTTAGGTTTCTATTGGGAGAACATGGAGGCAAGTGACAAAATGTGTGGCATGATATTATTACATCAAACCATCTCTTTTGGCATATGGGGACACCAAAAAACATAAGGATGGTTGGCTGTGAGGGAATGACTGGCCCAAGATCACCCAGATGGTTTTCATGGCCAGGTGGGATTTGAACTCAGAGTCTCTTGCTTTCTAGGCCATGCCTTAACCATTAAACCAGACCGCCTCTTGTTTAAGTATCAGTATCCCAGCATTATTAAGCGGTTCGGGAGAGGCCACGCTTAGCATTTTTCAAAGCACACTTAAAGGCTTCTGTTGAAACATTAGCAAAAACACTGCACTCTCAATGTCTTTCTTTTGTTCTCAACAGCACTTAAACTTTCCCATGGAGGAAACCCCTGATGAAGTTTCTTATGCTACAATAAACCACAATTCACTGAAAATCCTTTATGATACAGCCCCTGAATCCTGTGTCTATGCAAACGTGTCCCAAGAAAGCACTAAGGAGATCCAATAGGGAAGGCTATTGAGAAGAGAAGATCATTGTTGGTGAACCCATCTATACCCATCTATACCACATTCAGATCATCTTGAGTATACACATCCTCCTTCCTCTTTAACAGTTTTAATTGTTCAATCTCAAAGATACGCTGGGTTCAGGCAAGCACAAAAGGGTCTTCAAAAGGAGATTATTATAACACCCAATATTGAAAATTGAATCCTGGCATCCCGTAGCTCAAGTCCAATTTTTTTTTCCAGGACTGAAAGGTTTTTAAATAGCCCGTGGCATTGTCTCTTACCCTCCTAAAGTAATGCCATCTTTCTCATCTCGGGAGGTAGATGTGATAATCTGATCACATCTGGTACAATAATGTGAACATATTCTTGAAAAATAAAGTGATAGGAAGTGGACTTACCATGGCAATTTGTAGAGGAATTACAAACACAGAACAGAGTTGGAAGGGACCTTGGAGGTCATCTAGTCCAACTCCCTGCACAAGAAGGAGAGTCCACACGATTTCAGACAGTGGCTGCCCAGTCCCTTCTTCAAAACTTCCAGTGATGTGGAACTCACAACTTTTGAAGGGAAGGCATTCAGCTGGTTGATACAAAACCGGTTGAAACGAAAATTAACTTCTCCCTAATTCCCATTAAAATGTATACGACTTAAGTTAAGTGTGGGTAACTCAACTAATTGTTTCCAAACGACTACAATATTTCTGCTTTTTTTCAACCCAGTGTTTTCCAGCTGCATCTTCTGTCAGCTAAGAACTACCCAAATTGAGCAATATAACATTGGGAGAACCCCAGATCAGAGACATTGTGCTGTAATGTTTTAAAATATTACAGCATTAGTGTTACTGATGACAGTGATAATGATGACCTTCCATCCTCCTTTATTAGCCCCCTCTCTTTGTAAGTGTTCCTGCAACACTGTTTTGACAACGTGGACGAGAGAAGGACAATTACTTGGTGACAAGACAAATTCAAGTTCATAGGGGAAAACTATATCATAGGATATAATTTTTAAACTGTAAAGGGGGAAAACAGGAGTAATTTGAGGTTCCTTCTTTTGGCTTTGTTGAAATTCTGTATGTGTTCCTGATAATGGAAATTGAATCTGAGCAGGATTAGTGAAACAAGTTTTGTGACTAACAAGCATATGCAGGTAGAATGTGCAAGGCCTTTACCTAGCTAACTACATATATCAGATGAAAGTTAGAGCATGGGGTCTGTGGATGTGGGAAGAAGAGCAGAAGAAAGTGGCCCAAGATTTGTGGTTTCATAGACAAACAGCAGGCAAAGTGTTGGACAAAGAGTATAACTCTGATACGAATGACATTGAGCTGGCCACGTCCACCCTGGCCCCCTGAGGTCAAACACAACTCTGATGCGGCCCTCAATGAAATTGAGTTTGACATCCCTGGTCTAACACTTTCAAACACCACCTCCTTGTGGTAAATCTGTCAGTGCCATCGGATTTACACTACTAAGACATGGTTTACACATGCTCCTCTGAAGAACTTCCATTGAAAGTTTGTCTTCCAATGAGGACAAAAAAGTATTTCATGGAACCCCACTTAAAGTCAACTTCATAGTTCTTACTAGGCCGTACTGACAAATTCACTAGCGTCAGCTATTGTGACATGTATAACATGTAAATAAACCAAATGTTACTGAAGCAATATCAATATCTTATGACTAATCCAGTAAACGAAAATTTGGGAACTTCTGGAACTTCTCCATTCTCAGAAATGAGATATGTCCACATTAGTATTCATTATTACAGTTGTACTATTCCTGTTTTATATTATCCTGTTGTGTTTTATCCTTGACAATCTGAAAAATTGCGGAGATGTGGCTGACTGTAATTTAATAAAGACATAAATAACATGTTAAAGAGTGAGTCCTTCATCATGATTCTGAGGGGGTTGGTATCTTAATGCAAAATGCAAATCTCATTTCCTTTGTCCAGGCCAGATTTCCAAGCCCCCAATTCAATGAGATCCTGTCCCAAGGCCTGCCTGAAAAATGTCCACATCATCTAAAACAGAGAGGGGGAGCTATGGCCCCTTTATGACTTGTGGACTTCAACTCCCAGGATTCCTGAGGCAGCCATGCTGGCTCAGGAATTCTGGCAGTTGAAGTCCACATGTCATAAAAGAGCCATAGTTCCCCACCCCAATCTAAAATAGAATAGAAAAGAATAGAATAGAATAGAAAAGAAGACTTTACTTGCCTGCAGCATTCTTTTTGACAAGAAAGAATTCCAATCAGAGAAGCATCAACATTCCCCATTAAAACTATTTTATTTAAGATGGGAGTAGGACATTTCTCAGCTTTCAGGCCCTTGCCTTCTAATCCATCTGTCCAGATGCTGTTTTGGCTAATATGTCATTTTATCCGTTATTTAATTCCAAGACTTTTGAAAAGTTTTAACTCAGCTATCCAATTTCATGGTCTCCAACCTCATTTCTATCTGTGGACATCATTCTACTTCCTGCCAAAATCTCCTTACTTTACCTTAATGTTTCCCTACTCCTAGCCTTGGTCGTGAGATATAGTAGTGTTGTCAGAAAGATGCAAAGAAGGCTGTTTTTTAAACCACTTACATTATATTATCCATATGCCAGGTGTCAGGTTATAATCAATCTGAGCAGTCTTGGATCCAAATGAATATGAGATAAGGCTGCCTACTTAATTAGATACCGCACAGATTCTAATTTTTTATTTTTTAAAAATCACTAGCACTTAATAGAAAAAAGTAGGAACTGTATGCCAACACTTTTAAACATATCTTTTTTCATAATTAGGAAATGAGAAGGATCTCCCCCCCCCCCCCCGCCACCCCACAAAGGAAGTACCAACCAGTACCGAAATGAGATGCTGTATGGGCAGGGATTCAAAGTCAAATGCATAAACTCTACTTACTGCAAACACGAGAAAAGAAAAATCCTGACAACTGCAAAAACTCAAATGCAAATGGGCAAAGTAAAACTCAGTGTTTATGCTTCTTTCTCTTGCTGGTATAACACAATCTTGTTTCTCAACCTTGTTAACTGGAAGATGTACGGATTTCAGCACTCAGAATTCCCCAGACAGCATTAGGAATCTCGTAAGGTTCAGAAACAGTCCAATACACCAAGAGCCTATCTCTTTAAGGCAGGAGGAAATGTTGACATCTCTCCCTTATTATTGCATTCAAATTTCAGCCTGTTCACTTCTGACTTCGTCAGACTGAGTTGTCATCCCTTTTCAAGATGGAAACTATTATTTTAACATGCAAATCCATTTTGTTAGTTTATGCTTCGGTAAGTGAAAGAATTTAGCTCACACTGTCTGGGCTGGGATTGTCCCTGATGTCTCTCTGCCGCTAAACTTCACAATATACATTCACCATAAGCATGAGGTAAAACCTAGCATTTAACTTTCAACAGACTAAAGATCTGAAAAGAAAAAGAACCCAAACAGAAGGCAACAAAGCAAAACATAAATATATGATAAAAGGGCGCCGGCCAAAAGGCTTGAGTATATCTCATAAGAAATTACATCAGAAGGAAGCTGCATTTTTAAAGTTTGCAATGAGGAACATTTATAAAGTGTGTCCACAAACAACCTCTTAAAAATATAGCAGGTTCCAAGACAATTTACATTAACAGTATTCACAGGTAAGATCCTGTGTCATGAACGCTTCTGACCACGACCAAATCGGGTTCCGGCCAAAAAATTCACAAAACTTTTGAATCTGATCACAAACACATACTGGGGTAGCGATCAAACACGACCCCTGACCCAGAAATTCCTGAAGATGAAACATTAGAAGATGAAGAAATTGCCAAAGTTATGGAATGAATTATGGTCGTGACCAGAGGTTCTACTGTAGATGGTAAAGCAGACATTATTTCAGTAATTTGCACATTTTTACGAGTCCTTATTCAGTTCAAAATATTTTTTAAAATAGTTTTTATTGAAATTAAGTTTTAAAAACATTGAGCGTGGTAGTCTTTTTGACATTTATCTCAGTCTTTCCATTATTATATGAGCAAAATATCATCAAACAATACAAACATTTATATACGTATATATATAGCTATATATAATTCTATAATTCTGAAATATCTCGCTCCTTCAGTTCTAACATCATACTATCTAACTCAGCATGCTGAAAAATCTTTTCTATTTTTGCTTCATCATTCAGTATTCCTTTTAACTTCCATGTTTGGGCAATTGATAATCTTGCAGTTGAATGATTAAGTAAATATTTGCTTTTTTGAAATTCTCATTTATTATTCCCAATAAAAACATTTCTGGTGTATAATTTATTTTTAAATCCAACATTTCTTCTAGCTATTGCCATATTTTGTGCCAGAATTCTTGTATTTTCTTGCATTCCCATCACATATAATAGGTGCCCCATTCTTTCAAACATTTCCAGCATGTAGCTGGTTGAGAGCTATACATTTTGGCTAACCTAGCAGGTGGGAGATGCCATCTGTAAAACATCTTAAACAGGTTTTCTTTGTAGGATGTGGCTAATGTAATCTTTTTATTCTGATCCCAAATTTGCTGCCATTAGTCCAAATTTATGTTCTGGCCGAAATTTCTAGCCCAAGTTAACATTTGTTCTTTCACCTGCTCCTCATACATTTTATAATCTAGTAAATAGTTGTACAATTTCTTTATTTGTTTCTTTTCTGATCCTTATAATATTTTATCTAATATTGTATCTTGACAGTTAATTCCCCTTTCTTTTTTATCCCTTTTGTATCTAGATTGTACTTGGAGATATATCCACCATTCCAACGTTAAACCTGCTGGTTAAGTTCCAGTTTTTGTTTTAACTTGCTTTCATCTGTTAAAATATCTTTATACGTGACTGCCTTTTTCTGGTTGTAGAGATTCGGATATGGCTTCTTAGAGGAGAACCAGCTTGGAGTTTCCATATAGTTTTGCAATAGTTATTCCAAATTGAGATTAGAGCTTATCAAATTTTGTGCCTCTAAAAATATAGGTATGTCGTATGTCTACTGGGCCACAAATATGCATGCCAGCCCTGTTGTAAATCGTGTCCTTCTAAAAGTAAAAGTCTTTTATTATCCATATTTATCCAATCTTTAATCCATGTTAAGGTGGCTGCTTGATAATACAGTTCCCAGTCCAGAAAGCCTAATCCCCCTTTTTTGTGTGTCTTGTAAATGTTT